TGCACCCCACCGTCCAGTGCTGCGCCACCACCGTCAGCTGCTGCTGCACCACAGGTCAGTGCTGCTGCACCACCGTCAGCTGCTGCTGCACCACCCATCAGCTCCTGCTTCCACCACCATCGCTGTACTCTCGAAGATGTGGGAGGAGACTTGTTGGTGTTGCTTATGAGAAACAATTAACCCAGAGGGTTAGCCACCCAGGATAAACCAAGAAAGTCAGTGCATCATTGAGGGACTGTAACTTACTTCCATTGGGGTCCTTAATCTTGTACCCCAGGGATGTGACCCACACCAGTCGACTAAAACCCAGGTTGAACAGGAAAAATTGCCTGGAAACTAATGCTCATATTGGTGAATTTAAGGTCAGCAAAGGTGGTTTGAGAGATTTTAAGAATCATAGTGCTTACACAGTGCTGATTAAGGTATGTTGAAGCTGAAAAATTTCAGATCCCCAACAGTGTTCAATTGTGACGAAACAGGTTGTTCTGGAAGAAAATGCCAAACAAGACCTACATTACTCAGGAGGGAAAAAGCACTCCCAGGCACACAAGCCTATGAAAGACAGGCTAACTCTCATGTTTTGTTGTAATGCCTAGTGGGATTGCAAAGTGAGCTTTTACTCGTGTATCATCTGAAAAATCCACTGAGTGAGTCAAGGAAAAACAGAGTCTCATTCACTCACACTACATTTCAATAAAGGTAAGTGCATTTATTCTTCATTTAGTACTGTATTTATTGTGCTGTGTCCGTTTTTTTGTAGGAGAAAAAATGTATATTATCATGTGAACTTTTTTTTTTTTCATACTTTTGGGAGTCTGGAGCAGATTATGGATTTCTCATTATTTCTTATGGGAAAATTAATTCGTACTAACGATAAATTTGTCTAACTATAAGTCTCTGGAACGGATTAATATTGTTGGTTGAGGGTACATGTATATAGTTGATTGTTTAATTCAAAGTTACTCATTGTAGGATATTGTTTGATATAACTTGCATTAGAAAAAAAGATTTGAGGTAAAAAGATTAGGTAAACTTTTTGTGGGGAAAAAATTAACTGACATTAGATGCAGAAAATTGACTTGGAACAATAATCCATATTACATTATCTCTCATTGGAAAATAGGTTTCCGAGAGAGCAGTCATTGAATTTTCAGTAATGCATTACACTGCTTACCATATTGGCCTAGTCTTTCTTCCTAAGAGCTTTCTTGTCTCTGCAGTATGATGAGTGCTTCCTTTTGTTTTATTACCTCAAAACAGGTTCTTCAGAAGAATTACAATACTCTCAGAATTTTACCAGGATTACAGATGTGCTATAACATCAACTTGACCCAGCAACTGGTGGTGCCAGGAAGCAATACCTAGTCCTCCACTAGCAACTCGGTTGCCAACACTCTCTAAGATCTCCAGTTGCTAATCAGCATGGATATAGCCACCACTGCCTTCTACTACAGTCGAGGACATCAGCTGACAGAAACAAGCTATGTAACTACTGCAGGAGTTTACATCAACTGTGACAATTTTATGTAGGTGAGACATCCAGAGAACTCAATAAATACATATCAAACCACCAATATACCAACAGAATGTGCAGCCTAACCACCTGTGTAACATCCACAATTTTCCACAACTACTAAAAAGCTGGAATAAGCACTAATTGTTTCCCCAAAAATGACACTCGAGTCAAGAATGTTGATGAGATGGATGTGCTTGAATCTGTACTCATTGGTATCTCCAGCAGGCTTCAAGCAGGACATTGGTTGGTACAACTTAGTCAAACCTCTTGCCGTGAAAATTTTTGGATGCTTATAGATTTTTTTTTTTAATCAATGTGACATTGATTCGCATTTCTGTTTGCTCTTCACCTTCATACTTGTTAAGTATTTCCACATTTACTTTTCTTTTAACGGTTTAAATGTTTGTGACTTGAAGCCTACCATATGGTAAAAGCACCATTATAGAGGGTTCCATATAACTGCAATTTGTTGTGTGTTACTGTTCTGTTGGCTTGTATTTTACCTGTTCAGCGGCATAGAGTGTGAGTGTGAGTGTGAGTGTGAGTGTGAGTGTGTGTGTGAGTGTGAGTGTGTGTGTGTGTGAGTGTGTGGTGTGTGTGTGTGTGAAGTGAGTGTGTGTGTGTGAGTGTGTGTGTGAGTGTGTGTGGGTGATGTGTGTGTGTGTGAGTGTGTGTGTGTGTGTGTGTGTGTGTGAGTGTGTGTGTGAGTGTGTGTGTGTGTGTGTGTGTGTGTGAAGTGTGTGTGTGATTGTGTGTGTGGAGTGTGAGTGTTGAGTGTGAGTGTGAGTGTGTGTGTGTGTGTGTGTGTGTGTGTGGAGTGTGTGGAGTGTGTGGGTGTGTGTGTGTGTGTGTGTGTGTGTGTGTGTGGGTGTGGTGGTGTGTGTGTGTGTGTCAGTGTCAGTGTCGAAGTTGAGTTTATGGTTCTTAATGGTGAAATTGTATGTGAGGCATGTTAGTTGTGATAATTGGCTTGATGGTTGTTAGTTGTAATGATTGGCTGGTTGTTATGATATGCTTCTGATGGTTGTGATGATTTGCTTCTGATGGTTGTGATGATTTGCTTCTGATGGTTGTGATGATTTGCATCTGATGGTTGTGATGATTTGCTTCTGATGGTTGTGATTATCTGCTTCTGATGGTTGTGATGATCTGCTTCTGATGGCTGTGATGATCTGCTTCAAATGGCTGTGATGATTGACTTCAGATAGTGGTTGCTAGCTTTGGTGATTGAAGATGGTTTCTGGTTGTGAGTGCCCAGCTACAGACTCAGTTGGTTTGCTAGTCCAGAGTAAGGAGTACTTTCATCCCGAGTAGTTGATGAATGTTTAATGTAACCTAGGCATTGCTAGCACCATATATTTACTCGGTTTATTCAGACACTTTAGAATGTGTAAAGGTTTTGTTATAAATATTTAATTTATTTTCAGTTGTGGAGAAGGGTTGCAAATTTCAGCTCGTTATTACACTTCTGTTTACATTCCCGCTATAGCAATCAAAGTTTTCTATAATTTGGATGTTCCTTCTTTATTCATGAAAGTAAAATAATTTCCAGGTGTATTTACATAGGTGATGTGATCAGCAATTTTAGTGCCAGTGAAATTTATGGTTTCCTTTGTCTTTCTTTTTGAGTGACTACATTTATAGGGAAGGATGAATGTATTTTGTTTTTAAATGTTAACTAATAACCAGCTTGTCCATATTCCATAAAATATAGTTATGCCATGACTTTAACTTGTGATATTTTGTTGAAATTTTCATCTTTGTGACTAAGAATAATAAAAAATGGAAAATATTATGGAAAATAAAGTTAATCAGAAATATAATATTTTGTATAAGCTTTCACAGTTTAGGGAAAAATATAAATATGCAGTACACTCGAAATGTTGTAATAGTTTCGGTGACACTGTGAGGTTAAGTGTACATGGACTGATTGAGCTTAGTATAGTTCTATATACAGTGGAACCTCAGTACTCAAACTTAATTTATTCCAGAAGGTTGTTCGAGTGCCAATCTTTTCAAGTATCGAACGAATTTTTCCCAACCAGTTTTCTTTTTGGTTGGCTATTATCACTAATCTTTGTAGGCCCCATGATGACTTATAAATAATATAAAAAACACCAAAAAATGTGAAGAAACACAAAATAGTGTACAGCAAAGCTCTGGCAGGTCATGTTTGTTTGGTCGAATGCCGAGCTGTTCAAGTACATACCGAGATTCCACTGTATTTGATTTTATTCTTGTCACAATTGTGTATTATATGGCCTTTACTGTTTTGAATTAAACCTTTCTTAATTTTTTGTGTAAAAGGGGCTCTACAAATGTCATTACATGGTTATTCTGTTTTCATCAGTTATTGAATACAGCATTTACACAACACATTTGAAAATTTGTTTCCAAATAAAGAATTTAATTTATATTCGTAGTGATTGATAATACAGTACTGTACTAGAAATACTAATTAGGTTGAAAGAATCTTTTGTCCATAGGAAGTTCAGGGGACAAATTGCTACATCATCTTGTAATGAAAACCAGCGTTAGGCCTGTACATACACGTTATGATTCTGTTGGCAGAAATAAGACTTAAAAAATTTTGAAAAATTTCAGATCAGTGAATGCTGGTATCAAAGTGAAAGTCTTTGTATTAGAGCTATTTGCTAAAATGAATTGCATTTCTGGTTTTTTGACTAACAAATTGTATAGAAAACAGTACAAAGGATAGTTGTATTTCAGATATGTTTGCACTGCAATTAGGCAGTTGTGCAACTTTGATGGGTTCCAGAGTGCACTGTTTGTATAACCTGAGGTGTTTAAGTAAATTACCTCTCCTGAATATATTTCACTTTTGATCATAGGTAGATACACACTGAGTACTTATTTTATGATTACGGATAACAGACACAGTGTTAGTTACACAATAGTTATTGTAGATTTGCAGATACCAGTACAGTAGGACCCCCATATTCGTGGGTGATACATTCCAAGGATATGCCATGGAAACCGCAACCGCGGATAATAGCGAACCATAATTACATGTATAAGTCATTTTTTGTTTACATACATACCTATGATAAAGTTTCATTGATAAATTATGCACAATAAGTCGAGAATTAGCACTTTTTAAGCACTTCATGATTTCTCTTAGGCTTTTGCACTTTGAGGCCATTATTTAGTAAAATTAAGGGTTATATTCGTGCTACCCGAAACTGGAAACTGGACTGCGGATACGGGGCTCCTACTGTTACTGTATTTATAAACTAAATTAACTAAGTCTACCTGAATAGGGAATTTAACTTTTGTATGTACAATATTATGAATTTAACATTTGAATTTATGTACTGCAATGATTTTTTAGGTTTATGTGTTGAGAACCAAACTGAACGTTCACAGCACCAAAACAAAACCAAGTGTTTGAAGAAGTTGAGAGCACTTCTCTTCCAGCAGCAGCTTGACTATAATATAAATCAGTACAACTCTGATAGGAAGCTCCAGGTAATTGACCCTACATTGTTGTTATAATGGCATGGGGAGGGATTAATTTTTTTTTAAAGAAAATTGTAAGAATTTTTTGAAAAAGAAAATTATAATTTATATAAAAAAAGATGAAAATTCTGAGGGGGATGGGGAAATAAAAATTATTTTCTATGAATAGTTGAGAAATGTAAATTGAAAAAAATCACAAAAATTTAGTAAAAGAAAAATAATTTAATTGAAAAATGTTTCAAAATTTTTTCAAGAAATAATTAAAATGTCATAATGTAAAAAATAGCACTTTTAATTTGGGGGATCAAGTCAGTGAAAAAGTTAATTGGTGACAATGTCATAAAAGCAGAACATCATAAATCGAGGGTTTACTAAATAAAATATCAGATAAAATTGTAATACAGTAAACCCTCAATATAACAAACTAATGGGGGGATTCTCCAAGTGTCTCTTAAATCAGAATGTTAAAAAATAGAAAAAATAAAAAATGCATGAATCTACTTTGTTTTACCTAATAGAGTAGTGTACCTACAATCTTCAGATATTTTAAATGTTTATTGCATTACAGTGGACCCTTGATTTTCGTGATTAATCCATTCCAGGGAGTCTGTCAAAAACCAAAATTCACAAAAATCAAAACCATTTTCCCCATAAGAAATAATGTAAATCCAATTACTCCATTCCAGACACCCAAAAGTATTAACAAAAAATTATTTTTTTAGAGATTAAATATAGATTTACACACAGAAAAGAATGACAAATCAATATACAGTAGGACCCTACTTATACGGCAGGTTAGGTTCCAGGCTACTGCCAGAAAGACTTTGCCGGAAAGCAGAATGTCATTTTTTCCACTTATAAATGTATATAAATGCCAGATGACAAATTTACACTAACATATATTAACCCTTTGACTGTTTTCGACGTATAAATACGTCTTACGAGCCAATGTTTCTGACGTATATATACTCAATAATTCTAGCGGCTTCAAATCAAGTGGGAGAAAGCTGGTAGGCCCACATGTGAGAGAATGGGTCTGTGTGGTCAGTGTGCACCACATAAAAAAAATCCTGCAGCACACATTGCGTAATGAGAAAAAAAAAACTCTGATCGTTTTTTTGGAATAAAACGCCGACTTTGAGGTGTATTTTCGTATAGTATTTATCTTTTGTATTCGGGGTTTTCATGGTCTTAGGTGATAAAATGGAAAACATATTACAGAATTTGGAGATGATTTTCATTACTTTTACGATGAAAACGACCTTGAAACTGAGCTCAAAGTAGCGGAAATGTTCGATTTTCCCAAATGTTCAAGAGTAAATAAATCACACCACACGCCCAATACACATCAACGGGGGGAATCTAATATTCTTTCGCTAGTGCACTGATATTATTTATACCATTTTTACAAAAATTTGCATTTGTCTACATAACAGTAAATTTTGTATTTTTTTGTATGAATAAAAAATCAAAATTAGAAAGCAATAATAATATAAGAGGGGCCTAGAGTTTGTAACTAATGAACAGAGCATATTTTAAATTTTAGTGCCACGAATGTCTACCTTGTTTATTCTGGACCCTATTTTGAAATTGGCATCTTTTTTATTTGCGTGAAATTGACCAAATTGCCAATTTCTGACCCCCATTTTGGGTAGTCCAAATAGTAAATGGGAGGTTTCTTTTTACTCGCTGATAGATAAAGGGGAGTTTTCAAAAGGGAATAGCTATGAGTTTGGTCAATGGAACAATGGAATTGGCTGAAAATAAGGCTAAAAGTCGGCGAAATCGCCGTTTACGGCATATATCGCCGGGGACCGCTAACTTCGCGGGAGCTTAATTTCCCACGAGGTTTTCGCCCCAAATTTCGAACTTTTGGTTTCATTACCATCGGGAAAAGATTCTCTATCTTTTCATAAGAAAAAAAAATTTTTTTTTTTTTTTAAAAATTGAGGACATAGAATGACAGTTTCAGAGAGGGGCCTGAAACAGTCAAAGGGTTAAATTAACAATTTGAACTTAGGCATTAAAAAAACAATAAAAAGTAAAATGCACACACAGTACACTCATTATTTCCCTCAAAATATTTGTAGGGCAAAATTTTGACTAGCATTTACTATAAGAAGTTAGGTGTGGTAGCCTCCTGGCACCCCACCCACACATAATATACGACGATGCTTGAATAGTGATAAAATGCATGTACAGTTACATTCATTTTTTACCTTAAATATTTGTTAGTCTTAATGTAGGGTGACGGGGTGAAAAGTATTTATTTGTGGGAAAGTGGTTTTGGTTAGTTTGGGTAGTGTAGAGAACCCGGGCCTTGCCCCCCCACCACTATGTAAACAAAAGATGATGGTCTGGTTGGGGTTATAAACATTCACACAAACCCCTTACATTGTGTACAAGTTGTCTCCACAGTGGTACAGTAGAATAAATAAAGACCAACACTCCATTCTCATGTAATTTTTTAGAAGGAATGATGCTCTGACAAAATTTATTATTATTTTTATTATTATAATTAGTATTATTATTATTACAAATTATTATTTCAAATTATTATTGCAAGTTATTATAATCAATAAAAAAGAAGGACTAAACCCACAAGGGTCGTGAATTGCTATTAAAAAAGGGGAAGGCATATAAAAGGGAAATATTTATCTCAGTTATCCCCCAGTGTTTGACTAGGGGAAAACGAAATTTCTTCCAACACCCCTACAGAGCCACTTGTAAACAAATCTCATATTTGTAAATTTTTATTCTGTGGGTGTATGTATAATGTTTTTATATGCTATGTAACATGTTTTTTATTTTAAAATTTTGAAGAAAAGTATCATAGATGGATTAAATGAAAATGTCTTTATTAATGTAAAATAAGACTTTTAAATTTGTGCCCAAGAGAGATTATTATTACATATTATTACTATGGCATCATGAGTAGAGAGAGACTTAGTGATTTTAATGTGTCCTTACATGCTAGCACAGTGTGTAAGTATATTTAGGTACAGGTACACATAAGCTAATTATCAGAGTACATTTTAAAATATGCAATACTTTAAAACATTTTGAAATTTTGGAAGTTTCCAGAATAATAGATGTGCTCACGAAGAATGTAAACAAAAACCCGGTGGAGCATGCCGTATTTGAAAGACCATTTGCCGTATAGCAAATTTGTCATAATTTGAAATCGCCGTATTAGTGGACGCCGTTAAAGCGGGGCCCTACTGTAAAGCACTAATAAAATGTATAAATGAACATTTAACATACACTTACCTTTATTGAAGACTCTTGTTGGTGTATGGAAGCAGGGAGGAGGGGAGAGGGAGGCGAGTTTTTTTGTTTTGGGGACAGGACCAAATGCTCGAATATGATGCTAATATCAATTTTACGGCTTATTTATCTATTACAATTCAAAATAATATGACATAATAAACAATATTAATAACATAGAAACATGTTATATACTCAAGAATGAATAAAATGTGTCATTACGTATGTGAGGAATGGTGGTGGTGGATTATCAGGGATACTGGCAGCATAAGCCGTACATATAGTGGTGGTGGCGGTGGTGTTGTCGGTGGCCCTATATACCTCCCAAAATATTGGAGGAGTTAAGTTTCATGTTGTCCTTTTTTCTGTCACTTAATCGCTTAACCCTTTGACTGTCGCGGTCGTATATATACGTCTTACGAGGTACAGTGTTTGACGTATATACAGTGGACCCCCGGTTAACGATTTTAATCCGTGCAAGAGGGCTCATCGTTATGCGAAATAATCGTTATGCGAATGAATTTTCCCCATAAGAAATAATGGAAATAAAATTAATCCGTGCAAGACGCCCAAAAGTATGAAAAATTTTTTTTTTTACCACATGAAATGTTAATTTTAATACACACAAACTGAAAAAGGCATGCACAATTACTTTACACTTACTTTTATTGAAGATCTGGTGAGATTGATGGGATGGGAAGGAGGGGGGAGGCATTATCTTTTACTGTTTAGAAGGGGGAATCCCCTTCCATTAGGATTGAGGTAGCAAGTCCTTTTTGGGGTTACTTCCCTTTTCTTTTAATGCCACTAGGACCAGCTTGAGAGTCACTGGACCTCTGTCGCACAACAAATCTGTCCATAGAGCTCTGGTACCCCGTTCCTTCAAGACTTTCCTAAAATGGGCCATAACATTGTCATTGAATTTGGCCCCAAGCACGGCTTGCAACAGCTGTGTCAGGGTGATTTTCATCTATAAAGGTTTGCAGTTCAACCCACTCTGCACACATTTCCTTAATCTTTGAAGTAGGCACAATGGATTCACAACTGGCAAAAGGCTTCTCAGGGTTAGCCCCAACCCTTCAAATCTTTCTTAATTTTCCCTACTAATTCTCACCCTTTTACCACAGGGTTGGCACTAGAAGCTTTCTTGGGGCCCATGGCACTTATTTTCCAGAAACAGCACCGAAAATACTGTAATAATACGAAATATTCCGAGTGTATGCTTGGATGTTACCGCGGGGGCTGGCTGGTAAACAATGGGGCGGAGCGGCACATGTGAGGCTGGCTGAGGGCACATTGGACGCGTCTCGGACGAAAATCGGTATGCGGGTTTTTTAATCGGTATGCGCGGCAAAAAAATTTTTCGATTAAAAGTAAACGTTATGCGGAAAAATCGCTATGCGATGCCATCGTTATGCGGGGGTCCACTGTATACTCATAAATTTAGCGGCTTCAAATCAAGAAGGAGAAAACTGGTAGGCCACATGTGAGAGAATGGGTCTGTGTGGTCAGTGTGCACCATATAAAAAAAATCCTGGAGCACGCAGTGCATAATGAGAAAAAAGAAAACTCCAACCGTTTTTTTTTTTTAATTTTAAAAAGCCGACTTTGTGGTATATTTTCGTACAGTATTTATGGTTGTATTTCGTTTTCGTGGTCTCATTTGATAGAATGGAAAACATAAATTTTAGAAATAGAGGTGATTTTTGATTGATTTTACTATAAAAAGAAAACCCAGAAATGGAGCTCAAATTAGGGGAAAAAGTTTGATTTTTGCCCCTGTCCAAAAATAAACAAATGATGCCATTGTCCAATAAATGTCCAACTAGCCCATTCTAATATGCCGTCATGAATGGGTTGATGTTATTTATACAATTATTACAGTATTGCAGTAGTCTGCATAATAGTAAGTCTTCTATTTTTTGTTTGAATAAAAATTCAAAATAGAAAGCAAGAGTAATATCAGAGGGGCCTGGAGACATGACTGATGAACAAAGAAAATGTTATTTTAGAGCCAGGAATGTATGCATTGTTCATTCTGGACCTTATTTTGAAATTGTCATATTTTTTAGTTTTCGTGAAATTGGCCAAATTGCAAATTTCTGACCACATTATTAGGTAGTTGAAATCGGTAAATGGCCAGTTTCTTGTACTCAATCGATAGAAAAAATGGAGTTCTAAAGAAATAGCTATGAGTTTGGGTGACTGGAACAACGGAATTAGCTGAAAATAGGGCTCAAAGTGGGCAAAATCGCCGATTTGTAAACAGCGCCGAGGTCGCTAACTTTGCGAGAGCATAATTCCGTCAGTTTTCCATCAAATTTCGTTTTTTTGGTGTCATTACAATCGGGAAAAGATTCTCTATCATTTCATAAGAAAAAATAATTTTTTTTTTTTTTTAAATTTTGCGACACCAGGAGACACCTCAGGATTGGGGGTTGCGACAGTCAAAGGGTTAACTTACTTGCTACACTGTTAATGTTACACTTTATCGCTGGCTGGGACTACAGCCTTTATCAACTCCTGCTGCTTTAGTATCGTACATATCGTGGAATCACTGAATCACTGAAGAAGGAACATTCTCCCTTCTCTCTTTCTCCTCCACTCTGGTACTTTGCCACTGTGACACGTTCCATACAACTGCCGAAATCCAAGGGAAGTCACGAAAACCAAGGCTATATTTTGACCAAAAAAGTTGCCAGTAACCAAAATTCACGAAAACTGAGACTCACGAAAACCAAGGGTCCACTATACAAGTCAGTTAAAAGTACAATTTAATCAGTGGATTTTGATCATAATTTTAACCCTTAAACTGTCCACACATAGATATACGTTAACGTGCGGCAGGCTCCGAATGTAGATCAGTGTTTTATTTTTCATTCCTTCAAATTTGGTGCGATAGGCCTGAGTCGCCTAGACATGAAAGAATGGGCCTGTGCACTCAGTGTGTGCACTATGAAAAAAAATCTGGGAGTACTTAGTACCTTGTGGGAGCACCAGTTCAACTGAGCACCAGCTAGAGCAAATATCATGGCAGACACCAGTGATTCACTGATGTCATGTCATATTAACACTCACATTTTAAGAGGAAAGGAAAAATAGGTTAGATAAATGCATGAGTGGGTGTGGGTAGGTGTGAGTTGGACCTGACTAGCTTGTGCTACTAGGTCAGATGTCGTGCTCCTTCTTTCAGTGGATGTGACCAGACTAGGTGGGTCATTGGTCTAAGCCAGGGGGTGACATGGACCTGCTTTGCATGGGCCAGTAGGCCTGTTGCAGTGTTCCTTCTTTCTTGTGGTCTTATGTATTCGGCTGGCTAGCTGGCTGGCTTTGGCTCTGTGTCTGTATCTGTCTATATAACTGTCTATTTGTATCTCTGTCTCTCACATGTACTCATAAATACAGTTATTATACATAATGTAAATTACCTAGGATAACCCAAAAATTCCAGGCCAAGTGCTATACAGTGTTTGTAGATATAAGACATAAATAAACATGATGCAAGTAATAGCAGTGTCACTTGCTCAGCAATCAGGGAGCAGCCTGTACTCCACAAACCAACAGGTTTACTAGCTGCTCCCTGAGACAGAGACAAGCAGATGGAAAGACAGACACACAGGCAGACAGAAAGACAGATAAGCAGAACTTGACCAACAGATAAGCAGAGCTAGACAGACAGATAGATAGATGTACAGATAGACAGACTGACAGATAGACATACAGAGACATGTTTGTGTGCAAGAGTAAAAACATATATAGACAAGGTTCCCCCCTCCAGCAGCGCACATTCATCAAATGTCACTGTTATCTGACGCTGTCATAACACCATTATTCAAGGAGCTCATATTACACTCCAGGCACACACAGAAGACAGATAAGCTGAACTGGACAGACAGATAAGCGGAACTAGGCAGACAGACAGACAGATAATGTACAGATAGACAGATAGTTGTACAGATAGACACACTGATAGATGTACAGATAGGTAGATGTACAGATAGATGTACAGATAGACAGGCAGAAATAGGCAAACAGATAGACTGATAGACAGACAGACATACAAAGACATGTTTGTGTGCAAGAGTAGAAACATATAAAGGCAAGGTTCCCTCCAGCAGGGCACATTCATCAAATGTCACTTATCTGAACCTTGTCATAACACCATGCTTCATGGAGGTTCATACTCCAGCATATCTGCAACATTGCTAGGACCTATAAATACTTTGTATATATTTCTAGACAATAGTAAATGACCAGGGCAGGTAAAAATGTTCACCTGTCAGTGTGGTTGTTACAATTGGAGTGCTATTTCAGTACATAATATTAGTGTCAGAACAAAGATTGGCTATGAAATCACAAGGACTATTATAAATTGTAATTATCAGAACATAAAAATTATATAAATTAAAATAAAAACGAGAAAAAAAGGTAAATTGGCAACACTTCTGCAAGGGGCAGGACTGGATGTTGCCGTCAGGTGAGCATCCAGAGCCAACTTCACGGTCTTATATCTCGGTAAGTACTGGTCCTAAAAAATTTTTTTTGGTCTTATACCACACAGAAAATACCCCTCTTTAATTTAAAAACAAAAAAAAAACAATTTTTTTATTTTTCAGAATATTTGGAGCGCCACGCAGGTGAACGTAGATCTATGTTTGGACAGTTTAAGGGTTAAAAGTCCATTATATTGAGGGTTTACCATATTTTAAATAAAATAAGGAACATTAATTATAGCATTGTACAATAAAAACCATTATAAAATTTTACTAATCCAAGTTATTATTTGACAGGTTGGGACCAAGTCACGTTCAGAAAAAATTCGAACATATAATTACCCTCAGGACAGAATTACTGATCACCGGTAAAGTTTTCCTATTTTGACAAAATCTGCAATAGGCAAAAATTTAACATCAATAGTTTCACACAACAGTAATTTGATTTTTCAGTTCTCTAAAGGAAAATAAATTTTAAATAGGAAAGAATTAAACAGCTATAACTGATATGTACAGTGATAAGATTTTTGTTAAAGGAGAATAAATTTTACATAACACAGTATTACAAAACTAAATTCTTTATATTTCTTCTCAGTACTTAGAATTGCATTTCTACAAAAAGTAATATTGTGTTATCTTTTTTTGAATAGGATAGGAGTATCAGTTCATAATCTGGATTCATTCCTTGATGGAACTGATGCCTTCCATTCTCTCATCTGCCAGCTGTTGGAGGAAGGAAAGAAAGAGAGGCTTCATGAGATGATAAACAGTATGCAGTGTGAAGACATTTGAAACTAACTAAATACCAGTAGGTATAATAAATAATAAATTTATCTTCACAAAAGGAAAGCTTGAAAATTAAGTTTTCAGGAATTGCATGACAATTTCTAATCCTTTACCCTTTCAGGGTGAACAGGCCCTCTCCCAGACTTGTTCTCAGGGTCAGAAAATTTTCGAAAAAAAAAAAAATTATTTTTTCTTATGAAATGATAGAGCATATTTTTGTGAGTATTATAGGCCAAAAAATTATATTTTTGTGATCAATACTTACTGAGATATGGAGGCTTGAAGTTGACAGAAAGTGAGCTGCTTATGGCAACATCGCTGACTGCCGGTCATGCAGTCCTATGTTTTTATTTTATTTTTTAACATTTTATTTTTTTCAAGTAACTTTTATAGCCTTTGAGACCAATGTAAACCATGTTTTGGATATACAGTAGGGCCCCACTTATACGGCGGGTTAGGTTCCAGGCTACCGCCGTAAAGCGGAAATCGCCGTAAAGTGGAACACCCTTTTTTTCCACTTATAAATGCATACAAACACTAGATAACAAGTTTACACTAACATATATTAAGTTAGCAATAGACCCAGGCATCAAAAAACAATAAAAAGGTACAATACACACATAGTGCACTCATTACTTACCTTAAAATATTTATAGTCTTAATCTAGGGTGAGACAAGTAGTATTTATTGTAAGAAATCAAGTGTGGTATGTATTGTAATAGGCAGCTATTTTCACCAGGCCACCCCACCACACATACTATTCTATGATATTTAAGCATCCCAGAGCGATAAAATGTATATACAGTTCACTCATTACTTACCTTAAAATATTTGTAGTCTTAATGTAGGGTCAGGAGTAAGTAAATGAGATAAAACGAATAAATGAGAGAGAGAAAGAATGAGTACATGAGAGGTGACAGGCCAGGCACAGAGTAAACAAAACAATGGACTCCGTGACTATTGTTATTATCACCACTTGTGGAAGTCTCTGCTACCACATGATCAAAATTATGTTTAAATTATTCTACTGTGGGGTGTATTTATCTTATTTATATGTTATGCATCGTTGTTTATTATATAATTTTGAAAAAAATATCATGGATGGATTAATGAAAATGTGTATATTACCGTAATTTTACGACATTTAATGAGATCGTGATATTGTTATTATGGCGTCACTTGTGAGAAGTCGTCTGCTACCACAGATCACATTTATGTTTATTTATTTTACTGTGGGGTTTTATTTATCTTATTTATATGTTATGTATCGTGTTTATTATATAATTTTGAAAAAATATATCATGGCTGGATTAATGAAAATGTGTATATTACCGTAATATACGACATTTAATGAGACTCAGTATTGTTATTATCACCACTTGTGGAAGTCGTCTGCTCACAGCTCACATTTATGTTTATTTATTCTACTGTGGGGTGTATTTATTTTTATTTATATGTTATGTATCGTGTTTATTATATAATTTTGAAAAAAATATCATGGATGGATTAATGAAAATGTGTATATTACCGTAATATACGACATTTAATGAGACTCGGTATTGTTATTATCACCACTTGTGAAGTCGTCTGCTACACAGCTCACATTTAGTTTATTTATTTACTGTGGGGTGTATTTATCTTATTTATATGTTATGCATCGTGTGTTATTTTTATAATTTTGAAAAAAAATATCATGGATGGATTAATGAAAATGTGTATATTAACGTAATATACGACATTTAAATGACTTGATGTATGTAAGTTATTTAGGTACGAGTATACATAAGTTAATTATCAGAGTATATATAAAATATGAAATAACTTTTAAAAACATTTGAAATTTTGGAGTTTCCAGACAAAATGGAGAGACTTAGTGCTTACTGAGCTCATGGAGAATGTAAACAAACAGGGTGGGGCACGGTGACCGTATTAGAAAGTCACGGGGTGGGGGAGCGTATAGTGAGTTTTGGTCATAATTTGAAATGTCCGTATTAGCGGAACGCCGTAAAGCGGAACGCCGTAAAGCGGGGCCCTCCTGTATACACCCGTTGTATGCTACACATGGAGCAGGGAGAGCGAGGACCTAGTAGCAATTGGTGAAGAGGCAGGGCCAAGAGCTGAGTCTCGACCCCTGCAACCACAATTAGGTGAGTACACAATAACTGCACAAACATTGACAGGTGAACATTTTCACCTGTTTTAGTCTCATATTATTGCCTAGAAATATATACATAGTACAGTGGACCCCTGCCTTATGAACGCATCGCGTTACGTTAAATCCGCCATACGAAGCATTTGAATGCAAAAATTTTGCTTCGTCTCACGATAAAAAACTCGCCTTATGTGATTCATCCGGGACGCGCCCCACATGTGGCCTCAGCGCCAATGCTTATAAGCCAGCCAGTGTGGTCGCATCTACACATACATTTGGTATATTTCACATTATCCCTGTGTTTTTAGTGCTTGTAACTGCAAAATAAGTCACCATGGACCCCAAGAAAGCTTCTACTGCCATCCCTGTGGTAAAAAGGGCGAGAATTAGTATGGAATTGAAAAAAAGAGATTAAGGAAATGTGTGCAAAGTGGGTTGAACTGCAAACCTTTACGGATGAAAATCACCCTGACACAGCTACTGCAAGCTGTGTTGGCAACCTGTACAATGACAATGTTATGGCCCATTTTAGGAAAGTCTTAAAGGAACAGGAGGTACAGAGCTCTATGGACAGATTTGTTTTGCGACAGAGGTCCAGTGACTCTCAAGCTGGTCCTAGTGGCATTAAAAGAAGGGAAGTAACCCCAGAAAAGGACTTGCTACCTCAAGTCCTAATGGAAGGGGATTCCCCTTCTAAACAATAACAACTTCCACACACTCCCCTCCTCCCATCCCATCAATCATCACCAGATCTTCAATAAAGGTAAGTGTCATGTATTCTGTTAGTAAAGTAGTAATTGTGCATGTCTTCTTCAGTTTGTGTGTATTAAAATTAATATTTCATGTGGTAAAAATTTTTTTTTTTTCATACTTTGGGGTGTCAGGAACGGATTAATTTGATTTCCATTATTTCTTATGGGGAAAATTAATTCGGCTAACGATAATTTCGGCTTACGATGAGCTCTCAGGAACGGATTAATATCGTAAGGCAGGGGTCCACTATATTTATAGGTCCCAGCAATGTTTTGGTGGGGAAGGGAGTGTGGGTTTGTGTAAACAACGTGACTGGCAGGCGGCTGGCCGGCTGGTTGCTTCTGTCTCAGTCTCACAGGTACACATAAATACAATTATGTATACATAGTGTAAATTACTTAATATACATAGACAATATAATAATTATAATTATAATAATAATTGAAGCATGGTATAAGAGTGGTCATTGTCTTCTCTTTCCACTAATGAGAGTGTTGACATTTGATAAGGGGCATCTTATCTTATCTCTCCACTAATGAGTGTGTTGACATTTGATGAGGGGCATCTTATCTTATCTCTCCGCTAATGAGAGTGGTGACATTTGATGAGGGTACACTGCCTTCCCTTTATTTGTTTTCACTATACACACAAACATGTCTGTCTATCTGTCTACTTCTCTTTTTCTGTCTGTCTGTCTGTCTCTCTTCTGTCTCTCTCTGTCTCAGAGAGAGCCACTAGTGAACCAACAGGTATTACACTCAATTGCAGTAGTCACATCTGAGTCCTGATACTTATTATTTGCCAGTCTGGTTTTTTGGGTTATCCTAGGTAATTTACACTATGTATAATTGTATTTATGTGTACCTGTGACACAGAGAGAGACAGAGAGAGAGAGACAGACAGAGAGAGACAGAGACAGAGCCAGCCAGCCAGCCAGTTAGCCAGCCAGCTAGTCAGCCAGCTAGTCAGCCAGCCAGCCAGCCAGTTAGTCAGCCAGCCAGCCAGCCAGTTAGTCAGCCAGCTCTCTTCCCTACTACCCCCCCACTGCCTCCCCTCCCCCTTACTGCCTTTCCCCACCACTCAGACTGCTGGAGAGTTAGGTATTCTTTACGTTTGCCTTAGTTGCAAAGGCACACTGAATTACCACTCCCACAATGCAATGTTGGTGCATAGATTTTTTTCCTACTGTGCACACTTACTACATAGACCCATTCTATCACATGTAGGCTTATCACCTGTCTCCCGCTCAATTTGAAGGCACTAGAATTTGTGTGTACTAGTACGACACCAACCCTGGCGCGTAAGCCGTACTAGTATGGCACCAACCCTGAAAGGGTTAAAATATTTCAGATACTATGAAAAAACCATCAAATTATAGATCCATTGATAAACAGCTAAGCTAATGTCTCAGAATTGTACCATATTTAAAATAAAAAAAAATTTGCTGT